GGTCCAATCACGTTCCACAATAAACTGTGACATGATTAACATTGATTAAGAATGAACGAATAATGCTCCTGATCAAAATGCGCTGCATCATTTCTATAGCTGCTACACTCCAAAGAGCCTGTATGTCGTGGCTTTCTTTGCAATGAAAAACTGATGAGTCACTCAGTAACATTCATCGAAGCGAAATACCAGGCAATTTCTAAGTGGCTCGTGATTGGATCTCGTGGTTCGTAGCTTTTGCCTTTAGTCCATCGTAGGGTGAGACGAAGTATAGGCTACGCACTAGCGGCAAGCGGCACCTCCGATTATCAACACAATGCCCTCCGTCTCTTCCCTTGCAGCGTAAAAGACGGACTGGGGGAAGCTGCGCTAAACTCCGTTCTTTCTTTGGACCTAATCGTGTCAGTTATCGTCGCAGGTGGCGTGCTGTGCGACGCCGGGTTGTGGTGCGAGAGTTCAACTTCAAAAATTGTTTTCTCGCTTTAAAAAAAAATTACTTCGATTAAACTTTCAGAACCAAAATACAATCGATTGTTCTTCCAAACTCACCATATATTGTATTTTTACTCGGACCACCTCAGTGTAAAATAAACGGCTGATTATGCGTCAAACCGCACTTTCTTGCAACGTCAGGATTTTTTTTTCACTGCGAAATATTTAATTGAGCGATTTAAATTTTTTTATAGATTATATACCTGCAGGGGCAGCCGGTAAAAAGTTATATTAAGTCCCCGGAACAATTCGATATTTTTAATAAATCAACAAAAATCAAAAATTTTCATAAAAAATCGTGTTTAAAAAAATATTTAAATCAAACAAAACTGCACAAGCCCAACTACATTGCAGGTCGAAAGCCGAGCAGATTTAGAAAAACATATTGTTGGGTGTTTCATAAAAAAAGTATTTTTCATCAATTATGGAGTGATACCTAGTTTCACGCTAATTTTAGAAGTTAAAACCGCGCTCACGCCATCACAAAAGTTTTTTGTCAAAAATATTTCAGGGCATGGCTACGAACATTACAACAAAAGGCCATGATTTTTTTTTTTTTTTTTTTTAGAAATCGAAGGCGGTCGGGTGCAACGTCTGAGATGTTTGGCATGGAATGACCCATAAGCGATGCTACGATAGACTCTGGATGCTTCCCACTGCGGTCCGGTGCAGTAAATGTGTCGCTAACGCTGGCCGTCGTTGGCATTGCAACAGACTCGGCCATCTTGACCTCAGTTGGCGAACTGAGTTGAGCTCAACCATCGTCGGCGGCCCAGTGAAAAATGGCGCCACCGTGCAACTTCGGTCAATGACCATTGAGTCAACCATCGTCGACTCAATGACCGTTGAGAGCTTCCGTGTAATGTGGAAACAACAGTTAGGGGATACATAGCTTAATGGGTGGCTCAATATGAAATCGAACACGCTTGTCGGGGTTGGTCTTTCGATTTTTCTTAATATATGCAATTGTCCCATTTCCCTAAAAAACAAAGCCGTTTTTCAAATTAAGAAAAAAATGTTTGCTTCACACACAAAAAATATTAAATGGAGCAGGGTCTCTGTGATTTTTCTAGTCAGTTCTGTATGCTGGTGTGAATACGGAAAGCATACAAGAACTCACAGTAATTTTTTGTGTACCTGTATGTCATGCCTACTATTTTTTTCTTTAAAAATACTTTTTGTATTTTTTTTAAATTATTATTGAGGTACAAGATGCCAAACATCGTCTCTTTGACAATCCGGTGGCGAATTCGGAGCCATGTAAGTCACGACTATTTGCCTACATATTTGCCGCTTTCAAAACACTATGCGGGTGTAGTCCTATACATGCGCTATTGAGGGGAATAAATTTAGTTGATTTTATTATCACGGAATATGTCATATAAAATCTGAAATATTTTCAAAAATTAGATTTACCGATATTTTGAACCCCCTTGATAAAAAAAAGAAAATTTTTTTTTATCTCGTTGAATTTTTTATTATTGTTGCCAATCATACCAACTTTCAATCGGCTTGATGCGATTTTCCCCTTTTTTGTTGTATCTTCTCTAGAAGTGATCGAAATCGCACCCACGTTCTCGGAACGGCCAAACGCAGTTTCCGCAGGTCGGCTTCGCTGCAAAGAATATACTGTTTATTTTTGTGTTAAAATGCAGCGGATAAATTTATTTTCATTGAGAACACTCGCGTATGGCTACATATTGTATTTTTTTTTAATTTGGTAATGATGACAACTGACATTCCTTAGTCCGATCGTTAGCGGTGCAGCGGATATTCCATTACCCGGTGTGTAAAGCCATGGCACAAAGGGCGGAGAAAACGGGACGAGCTCTTCATGTAGCCAGACCGGGGTCATATAAATCCTGGGAAATACAATAGCGTTGGCGCGGACAAGATTCGGGTAGTTCAAACGGCTGGATGGGCAGCGGTGTCGTTTTATTTTTTCCCCGATTGGGAGTGGTGGCGAGCGCCACTTATTGTCGTGGACGGGGCGGCTCAAAGCACTTGACTAGGTGTACAGTGGGCGCGCCACAATGCGTTCGGTCGATCTGTTTCCTTTGTTTCACAAACAAAAATAGAACGAAATGTGTTTTTAAAGAAATTAAAAGAAGCGTTTTTGTACACGCTTCTTTGACCACTTCATTTTTATAGAGTATAGAAATAATGTGTTCAAAGCTCATTGGATTTAATTAAATTGAGAAAGCTTTGTCTAAAACAGATAAAGCTTCTAATAGTAACATAACCAGTAGAAACCAATGAGTTATAAATTTTTGAGAGTAATACTTTGGAGGTACATTACTTTGTTTACGCACTAGAAACAAAACTGGACAGCAGAACAACAGAAAAGCTGGATAATTCACGAAATTATTTTGTATGATTCATTACTCGAACAACTCTTTCCAGGCATTCAACAAAACGCTTTATTATTCAACAATCAATACTACACCGGTTTAAAAACTTCGCTCTCGTAAAAGTGATCTGAGCACACATGTTCTTTTATACAGAGGCTCCGGTCCACGCTCCTTGAAAACGGTATCAAACGCTGCAGACCTGCGGCGAATTGCTTACTCCCAACAGCTGAAATGATACACCCCATAATTTGCTTGAAAGTCATCAAGTCAGAGCAAAACAGGAGATGATAAAAGCTGTATACTTACATCCGTGTCTTCCGACGGTAACGAAGAGAGGGCAGGTCTTCTTTTATAGCTAACCGTGGTTTTGGCAACCGGCAACTTAACACACAGTCTTCCCCATTACAACATTTTTTGGTGATGCCGTATACTTCCACCTCTTCTACAATCCTTGCGAGGACACTGGACGGCACCCGGAGACGAGATAACGTTGTCAAGCTCGACTTCAAAGCAACGGCGTCTGCCGGGCCTGACCGGGCCATCGAAGGAAGCCGATTCCGACAGCGCGTTGGCGCAGACTACCCATACGCCGACGGTCTTGGTCGTACGACAGCACCGTAAGAGGACGATATGACGCTGTAGGCGTGCTGTCTAATGCGAATGAACAGAGTGGATTGTATTCTTCCTAAATAAAATATGTTTTATATATCAAAGTCAGCGGTGTAATACGTGTGGAATATTCGCAAAAAAACAAAAAAAAAACATTTGGTTAATGTCATTTATAAGGGCGACTTCCATCAACCCTTGCAACTTATTTCATCTCTAATTTCTTTAAATATATATATATATATATATATATATTTTTTGGTTTTTCCGTTAAGAAAAAGCAGCAAGGAGGCACACTGATTACAGAAAGAACAAAATAAAACTCGGGACGAAAGACGACGAAGATTTCCTTCGTCCCGGGCTTGTTTTATTCTTCCTGTGGCCAGTCAATCGTACCAACACGTTTGTCAGTTGATTTGAAGGAGGCACCTTTGGGATGGAGGGTGCGGGTTTTTAACAGATTCTTTTGCACCCCATTGGCAATGTGAGCGATCGATAGCGTCGCTGTGGTCGGTCTGCCAGGATTCGCCGAACGCTTTCTATGACGTCAGTAAAGGATTTCTCAATGACGATAATAAGAGTAATCTAAGAGCTTTAATTGTGACGGTGTTTGGAGCGTCGCTTTCAGAGCGAGACGATTTCTAGCTTCCGCCACGCTAAAAATAAACACCATCGAACTTCTTGTCCGCAAGGTAATGATGTCAGAAAAGGAAACCATAGGAGGGCGCCACCAAAACATCTCGCGACCAATAAAAATTTTGAGGGGATACATTTTTGGGGGTAATGTCACACGCTTCAAAATCGCTTTAAAAGGTAAGAAAACAGGTCAAGAAGGAAGGCAGCGGAGCCGTTCAATGTAAAGTAATGGCCGGCCGCAAGTAGGCAAGCCAGTGTGGAAAGGCTGGCGCCATCTATGAGGGTCGCTCATAGATGGCGGTAGGTGTCCAGAGTTCGGTGTCTTCATTTCTTTGCGGGGGACATGATCCTGGGGAAACTAGCCCTTAACAGATCCGCTGTAAAAATAGCGATGCAGGTGTTTTTAAAGCCCCTCTATTTTCTGAAAAGTGGCGCCATTCATTGTTGTGAAAATGCTCGAGACACTTGCAGCGCGCCACTTCTGGGAAGAACATGGCATCCGAAATCCAGCTCAGTGGTGCGCTGTGCCGACTTTATCTTCCCAAGGGCTGCACGTAGCACGTGACTCCTGCATCGACGCACATTGCGCTACTTTCAAAATATGAAGGGGCTTAGGTGTTCTCGGTGCACTTTAAGCAGACAGTACTGTGTGAACGGGCCTTTACGCCGCACGCGAGTCCTCAGGACATCCGTGCTTCGTATGAAGTGTGGTATTTAAAGGAGTAGCTTTGTACGCGACATACGAAGCACAGATATTCCGGTGGCTCGCGTTCTAGTACAACGTAATGCAAAAAAATGTAAGAAAACGCTCATGTGTGAATCTGCCTCGAAGGCATTCGCTTTTCGAACCTGTTCAGCAGCAAAAGACGGAGAATGCTGCGTCGCCTGAAAACCACCAGTTTTCCTCGCACTCACCTTGTCAGGAAGACGGTGCAGGTCATTAGAAGCAGAATGGAGAAGAGAAAGGCGAGCGGAGAGAGCCACGACGACTTGGCCGGCTCTGCGCCCCACGAAACGTTCCTATGAGACCAAGCCGTTTAGACACGTCTTGGTTCGCTCACCTGGTGCGGGGCCACAGCCAGCAGAGCCATGGAGGACGTTTGGGGGCATGCAGCGACAGCGTTGCTCGACGCACTCAAGGTACTGGCTGCCACATTGAGAACTGTCCTTACAACCGGGTTCCGTCGGAACTGTGCGGCGGGTAACAAGTAGTTCCTGAGCGTAACTGACAACACAGATACCAGGTCACTCACCCGGAACGCAGCGGCCGTCCTGCAGCGACTGTTCGGCGGGACAGTGGCACCGCCCGGCCGCATCGTTGGGCCTTCTTATGCAGGTGCGGCCACTAGAGCGGCCGCAGTCCAGGTCGTCTTGGCACTGGTCCTCGCGGAGCTCCCCGAAGAAGTCTGCACGAGGCTGATGCTGCACGAGCGCCCAGAAGCACCGCGGAGTATAGTATATCTTACCGAAGCGCTCGGGGTCCTTCTCAATGTGCAAGCGTGCCAGTGGAGATAGCCGCAGTTCCCCGACCCTGCGCAGAGTGCGGTTAATGAATAGGCTTTGGCCGCAGTCTCCAGTGAGGCCCACCCTGCTTTGGGTTGCTCCAGGTCATCGGCAGCGACGAGTGCCAAGTGGAGGGCGACACAGGCCCAGCGCATAGCTGCCCGTCCACCGCCAGGAACGCGCCGGCGCACGTGGCCAGGCTCGAGGCACCTGTCTCCTGCGGCGGCCGCATGGCGCTCCACTCGCTGCTGGTGCGGAGCTCTGTGTTGGTGCTCGTCACAACGGGCATCCTGCACCAGGCGCTGCCGTGAGTAGATGTTGCTCTAGCGGAACCGTCCTGGTTCATCCCAAACCCCACGCAGGTCCGCGACATCTGGTGCGTTCCTGGAGCTGAATGGCACTCTGGGACTATCCTGTGAGTTCGACCACGACTGCCTGGGCAACATGGCATGCGTCCGCCTGACGTCTCGCTGCGGTTGTCCTCTCGACAATCCTGTGCTGGTGCGCGGCGGCCACGGCGGTCTGCGCTGCGCTCCGAGCCGTGCCTTGTGGCAGCCATGCGGCTGGCACGAGCAGTGCTCCGCTGTAGATCCGGGACTGGTTTGCGTGGCCGGTTTCTGCCGCTGCCTGCGGGGTGGCTCAAAACTATGCGCTATCCGTAAGTGCGTGTCCCTCGACTTCTATTCCGCGTGTGGCTCAAGGCCGGGAAGGTTCTGAGGTAATCCGTGATTGGATCCGTCATTTCGCAGATCAAACCAACAACACCAACACCTGGCTCTGGGCTGGCTGTTTGGGAGCGGCGGCAGTATGCGGAGCTATGGTTCTACTCTGTGTGGCGCACATGCCAAGGTGAGACGCTGGGCGTGACGAAGCGTCCGCTGAGGCGACGTCTCACGCAGCCGAACCAAGGTCGCCAGCAACTTGGAGGCCTGTCTTCTGATCGATTCAACGGTCAGCATGCTACCGAATCCCGCGGCACAGAGGCTTCTCTTCTCCAGGCGAAATCCAGCGTGCACCGATCGGCTCAGCCCGACCATCTTAGAAAAGGTCCTTCCCCGGGGATTCCTCTCCTGTCACGGCCTGCCCGAACCCTGTCACGGGAGCTCGACACAGAGTTGCGCCAGCAGGCCCGAGCCCCACTGGAGCTGTCCGCTGTCACCGCCGGAGAGCGACAGTCTGGAACTGCAGGTGATCGAGCTGGACAAGCTCGGGATACCTCCGACCGCCAGCGTGCACCAGGCTCGTCGGGCGAGCGCCCCCGCGCTTCCGGGAGCAGGAGAGAAGCCTCCCGACCGCAGCCCCGAGAGCAGGAGCTCTCCCGCCCTCCGCTCCGAGAGCGGTGAACCCGCCGCCGACGCCGTGTCTGAGTGGGCCTCCAAGCTGACCATGAACGAGTACGTGTCGTCGTATGGATTCAGCGTGGACGCGAGCAGCTCGCGCCCTTCTGGGTCCGGCTTTCTGGCCGCCAGAGAGAAGAGCTCACGCCAGTGCCGCCAGGCCCAAATGCGCCGCAGGATTTCCGAGTCACTGCGCCGAGAGCTGGCGGATGCCTGGAAGTGTGGGGAAAGTGCGTTGCCCGTCGCCCGCCTCGCTCCCGTCTCTCACGGTCCCACCTTCTTCTCCTTTGAGCCGTCTTCTGAGCCGAACGGAGGACGGGACCCGGCGTAACCTTCTTGAACGCATCCGTGCACTGATAATATAAGGGTGGTCGTCTGATACTGAAACATCTGTATACGTATGCTGAGTCTAAGCTATTGCCACGCGAACTGCTACCCTTCTTGCGCTCCTTGCGTGCAAAAATTCAGGACCTAGAGGCTCCAATTCATAAACTGTTAAATATCGTGTGGTAGAAAACAGCCGACACCATTGAAGGGTTTAGGACACAGGAAATTAAAGGAGTAGATTATTTTTTAAATGGAATGCTCATAGGCTGCGTAGTCTGGACCACTTAGAAAAAAGGCTGAGGCTGAGCTAGTTGGTACATAATGCAAAAAAAAAAAAACGATCAGCTAGAACAATAGGGACAAAACACATACAGAGAGAAACAGAGACATACACGCCGCTGACTGTCAACTGATACTTTATACTTCTTCTGCATCACTTTAACCCAAAGATTCCCACCTAAAGTAATACCAATAAATTAACCTAAATACTTACAATACAAAACTAAATTAAATTATTAAATTTAGTCACTTACACCTCTTTGACCCAACCCACAACCCGCCACCCGACACATATCCCTCTTATCCCCAGTTCACGGGGCCGTGCCACATTGCAAAAACTGCCTTTCTTTCTTGAGTTCCATCGGAACACTTCTGGATTGATGGGCTCCCGCTATTTCGCTCCTTTCCACCAGTTCTGGCCTTACTTTCCGTCCAATTCTCGATGGATAAGGTATCCGGAATCGCCCGGTTCACAATGATATCATCGTTGACCCGGGCAAGTGACTGAAAATTGAATTCGGTCTGTTTTTCGTCTTTAGACAACCGCGCCGTGCTAGGCCTAACGCCACATAGCACTTCGCCGACTGTTCCCTCCACGTCGACGGCTGTTCCTCTCCGCGAACATGAGCAGAGACAGCCTGGACGGGCAGTTTGTCATGCCGACGATGGAAATTTCAACCGAGCAAACCAGGATCAACGACGGAGGTAACACTTGGCACTTGGCACATTACCGAAATGGCAAGCTACGCCCGATTCCCGCCGCCGCCGAGGGCCTTCCCGTCAGCGGAGCGGCTTTTCCCACCAAAGAGCGAACCTTTCGAGCCAAGAAACGCCTAGAGCGGCTACCGAAAGGGGGCTTCAAGGTCGTCATGCGACCACGCGACGGCATGGATGTAGGCAGGTGGAAACTCTTCCAGATTAACGAATACCTTGCCAGAGTGACCGGCACCTCTTCGAGATGAGATGAGTAACAAGGTCCAGATCCAAATAAACAGCAATCAGAACATCCTGTCGGTACACACAGAGGACGAAAAAACCGCCCGAGCACTTACGCGGGTGCACCAGCTTACGCTCGGTGGCAAAAGCTACCCGTCGTACACGCACCTGGCGACGCCAGGCGATTCTATCAAGGGAGTAATTCACCACGTGAAGCCAGGATCCACTACGGAAGAACTTCTCGATTTTATTCGAGTAGGGAACGGACCTCAGATCATCATTGCTCAAATGCAAGGCCAGTCGAGCTCAGCCCTCAACACATTTGAGGGCAGGAAACTACCCAGCTACGTAATCTACAGCGCAAGTCGCCAGAGAGTTCTCCCCGACAGACCCCCAAGACAACTCTGCGCAAGGTGCGTCAGGGAAGGGCACAGAGCGGATGTGTGACCCACCCCAAACATCCGCATTTGCATTCAGTGTGCGACACAGAACCATACCCCGGACCACGCCTGCACCCCGAAGTGTTTACTGCGCGATGGACAGCATTTAACTGGAGACAGGATGTGCCAGAGGCGCTACAACGATCGCCAATCGATACAAGACAACACCACCAAGCGTACTACGAGTCGCAAGAGCCGAAGTAGGAGCCGCGCCAGGAGCCGAGCCAGGAGCCGAGCCAGGCAGCCGCCGGCAAGGGAGGGCAGGGAAGAAACCAAGGGAGGAGCCAGACACCCCAGCAACAAGGCAGGACTCCTCGACACCGGCGGAGTCAGGCTCCTAGGCGGCAGAGCCGAAGCAAGACAAGGAACCGCAGCAAGTCGAGGGACCAAAGCCGCACCAATGCTCAGGTGAGCTGGGCAGCAAAGCTGAGAGGGTCTCGCCCCCCACCCAAATCAACAGATCCTTTTCCCTCACCACTCAAACCTTCCCACCCCCGCTCCCCACCAGAACGCGAAACCGTTCCAGAGTGGGCAAGGGCCCTTATGAGCACGCTCACGCGCATAACCATCCTTGTTTACCAAATTGAGCAACGGCTAATGTCCCCTATAATGGAGCTCAAATCTCCCACTCCCCCACACGCTCAGCTAGAGGACGCGCAGCGGTCTATTGCTCGACTCCAGGAAACGATAGCTTGCCTGCAAGAGCACTTACGCACCGCCACAGAGAAAGAGCAGATAGAAACAGTCAAGAAGGCTAGGAAGACGGACGTCCGCTCTCAACCCTACGTTATCCCGCATCATGTAAATCACCAAGCAACCTACATTGAATCCGGCACGCTGAACCTCCATCCCACCACTATAACCCCAAACCTTAACGATGGTATGCCAAAACAAAGGGACGATTGTATAGCAATGGAACTGTCACAGTTTCCGGGGCAAACGAGGTGCCCTAGCACACTTCATTGCCAGCAGAGATTCACCCCGGACGTAATATGCCTACAATAAACAGGAAAAGATCCCCCCACCTTACCGGGGTGTCAAACTTTCACGCACACGAGCGGAAACCCCAAGATAGCCACGTTAGTTGCGAATCACATTACTGTAAAGCAGAGCGAATTCAACACTACCTCGGCAGAACATCGCATAGTAGAGCTACTACATAAACGACGAAAAGCACCCAGTTTCTTTATACTGAATATCTACAGTCCCCCAAGCCGAACCGAAGAGGTATTTGAGCGGTTTTTAGACAGGGCACTAAGGTGAGCTCAACAGAACTTACTAATAGTAGGGTACTTTAATGCCGCACATCCAACGTGGGGCTATAAACAAGCAACTGCAAAGGGAACCAATTAAACTATACGACGCAATGTGTCAACACCAATTAACTCTACTAACGGACCCCGAGCAACCTACTAGGACGGGTAACAGTGTAAGTAAAGACACGTGTCCCGACCTGGCATTAATTCAATTCGTTCCAGCAGAATGGACCAACACAGAGGAGTCCCTAGTCAGCGGTCGCAATAACTGTGCTCAAGAAGTTATCAAAAGGCACGCCATGATAGACTGGGACGTTTTTTGTAAAACGCGCTCCGGAGTAACCAACGAAGCAGACGACCTAGAGAGATGGGTCAGAGATCTGCAGGCGGTTGCGGAAAAACACACTAAACACGTTAACCTCACGAGCGAGACGCCAGGGGTGGATTCCCGTCTACTACACTTGTGGTAAGCTAGACGCAGCCTCCTCAAGGGATGGAAGCGTCAAAAATTAAATCGCAAGCTTTACCTCCGCATTGCCCGACGTGAGAAAGAAGCACTAGGACCCGCAGAACAGCTGGGGAAGAACAACTGGCATCAAATGTGCAACGAACTCCAGGAGACCTTGGGCACGGCGAAAACCTGGTCGCTTCTTCAGCACCTCATGGACCCATCCAAAAGCAAGAGCCAATGAAGCCACACTCTCGGTAAGAGTGT